CGTATACATTGCAGGCAAGATTGACGTTGAAAACGTCCAGCAGGACAGTACCTTGAACGTTGATGGGCGACATGAGACGTTCGTTAGGACGACGGTTTTGGAGCTGGATGCCCCGACTGTGAAATCTTTGAAGGCGACGATAATAGGCTGAGAAGCGAATGTCGGGCCCTTGAATTCGCGCCCCATGACGATCTGGGACACACACATTGGACACGTTATGCAATATTGGCAGGCGTAACGTTGAATGTTCAGAATTTTCTTTGCAATTTGTGTTTATGGCCTCCCCCTTCCAGCCTGGCAGGAGAAGCAACGTCGGGCATCACCTTTCGACCTTATTTTGAGCGAGGAGAAGCAACGTCGGGCATTTTCGACCTTATTTTGAGCGACAGGCATTGCATCTCGGACCTGCACATCTCCCTTCCACACCAGTAGAAAACCACCTTATCGCGATGCCAACTGCGGTGCCATTTGACACTAATTGGTGCCACCACATCTAACTTTACGCCGTCATAATCACAGTGACGGTGTCACGTTGTGTCGAAATTGCGTCGCAGGTAGCATCGCAGACATGGTGTTTTCTGATAGTGCCAAATGTTAGTGTTTATCGCTATGTGCTCTTTCAACACCGTCAAAACTTGGAGCAACACGAGCTGCACATTTGTCAGCACGTCAAGCCCTCGCTACATGGGCCCGAACTCGAAATTCTCAAACCGTCGTCGACTCTGCTAGAAATACCATTTGTGTTTATGTTTTTGGTATTTATATTTCTATCTAATTTATTCATTTATATTTTTTACATAAGAGCTGTAAATACTATTCGGAAGTCGCAACCAATCGCGCCGGCTGCTGCAGAGAATGACGGAGTTTTCCAATACTGCCAGCTATTGTTTCTTATTCTTGAAGCACATGTCTATCACGTCAACTGTAATGTCAAATCGATGTGCCTTTACACAATTTGGGGACAAATTTCTTGGAATAGTGCTGTGATTCTCCGTCTTTCTTTGAGTATTGTTTGTCCCACTACCACCTGAAACGTGTTTAGATCTTCTGCATTGCATCCTTCGAAGCAACGAGGAAAGCGCAGAAAGGAACTTTGGTAGAAATGCCCCAACGCAGTAATTTCTGAAGACTTGTTTCCCCGATAAGGCATGCGATCAATATATTAAGAACAAAGGTGACGGACTCAGAGATTGCAGCCACGACGGTGGCGCGTTCTGAGTTCCTGTTTCTTCAACTTCGGATGAAGTCTGGACGTGCAACCCGCTCTCGGAACTCTGATTGGGGTGTCCAACTCACGACCGCAATCCACGATCGAAGAAGGTTGTACCACACCTATCATTTCCGGACATGAAGGTCGTGAAGTCTGCGCAGGGGATCTAAATCCATAAAACCCCAAAACGAATAAGCCCGAAAATGACCTTCGTGGCTTTTATGACCTCCGCCATCTCATGACCTTCAATACCTCCGCGGGCAAGTCGACTACTTCAGGAAGCCGATTTGGGTGATAATATTGTGCCTCAGAACATGGAATCTCTACCCCAGTGACGAAGTTGGGTTTTGGAGCAGCGCTATAACTGTGGACCTTAATGTTTCGTCAATTTCTGCAGGGCATGAAAATTGCCCAAGCCATGCTCTCAGTATTGTTTGTTAGGAAAAGCAGCGGTTTCTCTGTACAGACAAACCTTTTGAACGACGGAAAGCATAATTGATACCAGACAGAGGAAGTACTGGCAGTGCTTCGTCCGGAAATTCATTTAGAAAGATTTTTTTTTGACAACTTGTATTTTTAGACAATCATTTCCTTAGTGGGCGTGGCGAAGCTTGATATCGTGCGATGCGGGGTGGCATCTCTGCAGCGAAGAGACAATATTGAAACAAGTGTTGAGCTTAGAAAATTACATTTATTGCCAACATGAACAGTTTGATAGTCTTAATTGCTAATCATGTCACATCTTCTCGGCATACTTGTGGGCGTGTCATCTCTGACTTGTGCCGCTCCTTTGCTCTTTTCAAAGACTGTTCTTCCAGTTTCGATATCTTCAAATGGCTCGTTGAATTGACTTGACTTTTTCCCTCCCTTTTCCATGTCGCCTCAAATTCTGGTACCTCAAATGATTTTCCGCTTTTCTGACCGGTGCCAGGCTCCGGAGATTGGGGCGGACTTTCATATAAACTGTTGATTGCCACAAGTTAAACTTAGAACTAATCCTATAGACAAATTTTGATAGACTTGTATAATAATTATCCAATTCCAGGGCGAGAGTATCCAACTGCAATTGACAATTTGCAACAATGTTGACAACAGCTGCTGCAACGCAACGAGCTGATACAATATTATGGCTAACTACTACTGGAATATGGGCTTACCAGTTCTGCCTGCTATTCACTAACTTAGGAAATGCAATTCGAAATATCTATTACTCTATCAAATAATGCGACATTGTACCAACGCCAAGCATACCAGTGCTCCACAAAATGTCATTTGTTGCAAAAGATTCTCCTTGAAAACTATTTTTCCAATAGCATTCATTTCCTAAAGATTTAAAGTAGCCAACATTAGGACTTTTCAAGCATATAATTGGATAATGGAATATTTATCGAATCAACCGAAGACATTACGGCGGATTCATATCAACTGAAATGAAGGACAAGTCGAAAGTATAATATAAATGGTACTAAGCACCCCAAAACATAAAATGCAGTAAACTGAACAAGAAAATGACCTTTTTGACTTCATGATCGATGATTTCATGATATTTATATGCTTCACGGCTTCCCATCCAGAAATGAAGGTATCCGATATTTTGTGAATATTGAAGTCAGCACAAGCACATAACAATTATAACTAAATTTGAAATATTTTGTGAAACCCAAAACATCCCATGCCAGCGTTCGATAGTCACACTCGGCGTTTCAGGAAGAATTTTCTTGCTTGATGTAGCAATAACCTGTCGGTACTATTGTCGGCATGCCAATGGACGTTCAATGCAGCACTATAGGAAAACTGCTTTCATCAGAAGAGCACACTGTCTGTAAGTATTTGGTTATTTGAAGAGGCTGTTCGCGAGCCGCTGGAAAGGATCCACAGCACTCACTTTTTCGCTCGCGGAACCAAATTGGCCATTTCTGCAACGCCTGGGAATTTCATCCTCTCCTCGTCGATGTGCTTCTCGTCCGCTCCGCCCATTCCGAAGGCTTTTCCCGGTGCTCGAGAGACACTAGACGGCGGAACCGGACACCTGACCATGGGTTGTTTGTTTCAGCCCCCATTGTCGCTGACCAAGTGATCATTACTACAGTTTTGTGTTTGCAGGTATTTTTATAAAAAGGAACTTTAGCCGACATGAAAAGGAGTGATGGAATGATTACCTGCTGACCTGCTAAATTTGCAATGTTGCTTCTGAACTCCATGGGAGATTTCAGCAACAAAAAGGATGAGTGATAATTGAGACCTTGCATATGAGGGGAGATAAAACACACTGATCATGTCACGGACCTGTACCGACCACAGATAGTCAATGTTTTAGCAATTGCCAATATCTCACGGTACTTGTCCCGAGGAACACTCGAATCCACTGTTATTCATCATAGGCACAGTACATAGGTTCCCAGAAATCAAACATTTGAGAGATAGCCCTTGATTATTCCACCAAAGGGTAACCCGAATCCAGGAAATTAAATGAGTATGTGGGACGCTTGAAGATATTTTGTGCATGGTAATGCGTATGCCTTCAAGTTATATGAGAAGCAGCAGCGGAAATCAGTCCGCTCGCAGCAATGACAGTACCATTGTTATTTGTATGTGCTGTCGTGGATTAAATGCCCCTGGTTACCTGCCCGTTGCATCCAGCATTGGTTGCCCTCCAAAAGTTCGAGCCACAATGAAGTCCTCCAGACGCTTCTGCCTCGCTTGGACTCCCATCTCTCTATTAAACTTCATTTTGGTCGCCGTGTTTATCTGAATGAAAATATTGCAGCTACTGACTATGAAAACAATATCAACAACCCTCTCCTGAGGAATCGCCGATGGGCTTCGAGTAACAACTTCGTGGCATAGTTATGCCGCGCAGTAGGTATGTTCAAAATTGCTTCCCACTTCGTGTAAATGAAAGCATATGGCAGCTATCCATGAGGCAACAAAATACCGCGCAGCACCCTTGGTGGCAAGTTGTTACATGCACAAACTAGTTCACTCATTTTCATGATTTTTGACCATTTACATTGAAAGGGTGTTTGTTTATATAAGTGCAGGTATAATATATAATTATGAAAATTTATTATTAGAGGTAGATTAATCACCTCTTGATTACACTCTGCCCGTTTCGGACAGCCATAGGCATTACCTCTTCCTCCTCCATTTTCTTGGAATTCTCGCGCTCTTCCCTCACAATTTGTTTTTCCAGATGGAGACGCGCTTTCTCGATATTCTTCTTGATTTTCTCCCTTTGAGTCTTGATGTCCCTATCGATTTCCCTCCTACGGAAAATCTCGTAAGGATTTTCTCCAGCGTTCAGCAGGCCTTCGAATTCCATCCTCTCACTCCTTTTCTTCTCGCTCTGTCTCTCTCTTGAAACATTTAAATGATAGCCCTTAGAATGACATTAGTTTCAGTAAAATATTTGTTCAACAGATATTTTCTTAAACGATTGAATTCAATTGATTAATGAATTTGTGTAAATGAAAAATGAATTGATTATTTGGTTATTTCAATGTTATTGCACAAAAATGGGAGTTATTTTGCCAACGATCCGCTTACGAAACGCCCACACGGTTGTCGGCTTGTCTGGTACACTCAGAGCACTTGAGGCACGCCCAATAAAATGTGACTATCAGCACATGATTGCCCGAGAACTGGCATCATCGGCAACGTGATTTCCATGGCTGATACAATATTCCAAAATGCCGCATTCTTCTCCAGCGACTGCCCGTTGGGGTCTATTGCGAATGTGCGGCTGGCTGCGGATGGCCTTCCATACATAATGACATAGGGTGCAGATCCATTACCTAAACGCTGTGGCCTGCATTGCGACTTTGGCTTTAGAAGCATCCAAGTTCTGCTTCAGCTCCGCGATGGCTCGGTGTCGCTTTTCCAGAGCCGCCACATGGTCCTCCTTGGCCTTGTCGACAACCCCCCTGATATTGTTGGTCATCTCTCGGAGACGCCGAATAGCGCTCTTTCTGCCATCTCGGGCGTCCCTGAGGAAAGCGCCATGAGAATGAAGTCATGAACTGAATCTGGATCTGTTTTGCAAGTATGACTATGAGTTTGTGGACTTAGGAAGGCCTTTCTGATTTGCCCCTGGTGGCTGAGCAGTTTTCAACAGCCGCAAACCGATTCGTTAGGATGCTGATGGCGAATGCGGTATCCGTAAAAGAAAAAGAGGACCGTGCACCAGAAACACGAAGTGTGATATTTCGCGCTGGTAGATTCACGAGTTCATGATCTCAATGAAGCCATGACACATTGTGAGGCTGTGTCCCCGTTGTCGCTTTGCTCATATTATTGCACGCTGGCACGAATGCAGATGGAAAAATGCATATCTGGTGCCATTGAGCTCCTCCTCAGCATGAAATAAAAGTAAACTCCACAGAAATGTTAGCTTCAGCACCTGTGATGCATGTATTCAAGGACTCTGTTTCTCCTGTGCATTAGAATATTCGTGCAATTGCATTTGACGGAACGCTTGCAACAAGACAAGTACACCCCAGTGAGCTCGGGACCACTCTAAACGACGTGTTTCCATCTCCAGATTTCGAGCGCAGCCATCCGCAGCACCCGGCCACCTGATGGCATTCCTCATCCTGTCGCTTGCCTCCCGGCCCTCCGCAGCCTGGCGGGCGCGCTCCCGCCTCCTCCTCCTCTTTCTCGACCTGGCCGCCAGTGCCTCAAGTCTCCTGTGCTCCATGGCTTCGCGACTGGCCACCGGCTCGGTTATGTGCGCTGCCGAATCGCGGAGAAGCCCTCGCGACTGGGGTTCCGCGTCCCCCGGCAGAGACAATGACTGCCCATCAGCTGTGGTACCGGTGCCGTCATTGATAGGGACGGGCGAGACAGGAGCACCAGCTTCAGGCCCATGTTCTGCAAACTCCCACAGCTCTTCGAGGTAGCGCAATTCGCGCTCAGCTGTGCTGGGGTCCATGTCTGTGAGGCGAGCATTGCAGGTAAGGGCATTAGTTGCCAAGCATGATTATGGAATTTCTAATTGCCTGACGTTGACGCGCAAATCAAGAGGATCTGTGTTGAACAGAGCAGGTTTTGACTTGGGTGCCGCCTACAGCCCTGGGAGCCTAGTTTCGTGTGCACAAGCGTCCTTTGGGTTTGCTGAAGAATTCTGCCCTCCACTTACAGTTGCGATGCCATTGAAATATGTCGAAGGAGTAAACATAATGTGGAATTTGAACTTCAAGTCATTGGTTCGTCCATTTTCTGAAAGCACATACAGAGTATCGTTCTGTAATTTAAATCACACTGTCAAATAATAAACAAAATGTTAGTTCACGTGAAGCCACTATAGGGAAGCGGCGTTTGCAAGGGGCCGAATCCGCTGAAAAGCGGAGTTGCAGTCCCAGATCATGATGCAATTACAACATTAATAGTAAAAAGGCATATAAAGTACTACGATCTAAAAATATCAACATTATAAACATTTTTCGCCGCTAAGTAATACGCATTTTCATCATTTAGACAAGATGAAAAAGTTGATTATATCCCAGAAGATTTTTCAATTATGCCTGCAACTGAATGAACACATTTTCGAAAATAGAACAACGCAAGAGGACATCAAATTTAGAGAGAGCATGGAATGGAAAGTAGAATAAGGTTATCGCAAATGCCTACATTGCAGTGGCTTATAGAATACTCCAAACAACGGGCAAACGCTCCATAGTACTCGTCTCGTGTTGGCTATCACTGTTAACGTTCATTTCCCACTGGAAATAGCAATGGAATCCATTTCTTGAGGTGAGGTGGACACCTGACTGCTACCTCATTCTCTCGGACGTATCAATTCATCATTGGACGGAAATTATCCCATTCCCAACGCAAAATTTCGCAATTCACTAATTCAGCATCTGGCGGCTCGCCATCATGCAGAACCTCCACCTGCTGAAAGATGCCTTCGACTGGAACCAGAAAAACTCGTTCCCTTTGGCACTCCGTAGGACCAATATCTCCCAACGCTGACGCGCTGACTTCAGCCCTGCTGACCCGTTCTCTGGCTCTGCGGCGCTGTTTTCACCCATGGACAACGTCTGGGCCAATGATGTGCACGTGGCTCCAGTGGGCTGCCAAGCCACGTCTTTTTTATTTGTTTTCCGAGCGCTTCGGTGCCCAACGATGTGGCCCCTTTTTGGGCCGGCTGCAATTGTAGAATTCATCTAAACGTGGCGTTTGTGTTGATTGGACCTCAAATGCATCTGTGAAGATCCTAGGCGCGGGTATGATCTTCCGGAAGCATTGCCATCGCAACTGATTGCCGTGGGCATTGCATCAGCTGATGTAATTCCCAGCAACTCTTAGGCAAATGTACATTTGCGTAAGGGTTTCTGGATATTGCATCAACTGATGGAATGCCCATGGCAATCAGTTGCAATGGCAATGGAGCCACAAGTGGACATGTCCGTATGTCAATATTGACAAGTGTTGGTGCGTGCGCCGTCATTGCCTCGAGGCTGATACGCTGGCTCCGTCATTGCAAGTAATGCTTCTGTTAATGGTTGTCACCATTTCTACACAAGATGTTTGAGTATCTTTCCACTTAGCAAAAAGATTATGAAGATAAGGAGCTCTGAAAGCCTTGTTTGTCCTATACTGTTGGCTGGATTTTAAAGAAGAGAACTTTGACTCCCCCAAAGGGGGGAGGGAGCAGCGGAGCCATGGAGCGTCCCATCAAAGAGCTGGTTGGTAAAACAGCTGTATAGTAGGAGTGTGCCGTGTAAATATTCCCGCTATAGGCACTCAAGTGATCCATAACAGACCAATGAATCCAATGGCGTGTGCATCAGTCGATGGCATCTTGTGACGCACGTTGGCAAGCCAAAAAGCAAGTCACAGAGGCAGTCACAGTGTTTGGTTTCAAGGACCAGAAGTTTTCGACAGTCAAGACCTGCCATTCTATAGACAATTATCTACAGAACGGGAAGTGTTGGCTGTCGAAAACTTCTGGTCCTTGAAACCAAACACTGTGACTGCCTCTGTGAATTGCTTTTTGGCTTGCCAACGTGCGGCACAAGATGCCATCGACTGATGCACGCGCCATTGGATTCATCGGTTTGTTGTGGATCACTTCAGTGCTTAAAGCGAAATGATTATCTACAGAATGGGAAGTCTTGGCTGTCGAAAACTGCTGGTCCTTGAAACCAAACAGCTTATAAGCTGCTCGAGCCCACCGAAGCAGCAGAATCTCATCGATCTTCCTTCAATAAACAGACAGAAAGGACGCTCCGAATGCGCCTTTCTGGCTCGGCTCTTTGATGGACATCCTCAATGGCCAGCAGCACAAACGCTCCTCTCAGCCCATCCTCTAGCTGAATCGCTCGTGTCATCATCATCATCATCATGATTTTTTACAGAATCGCTCGTGTCATTGCAACACTGCAAATGCATCTGTCATATGACAGGCGCAATTTCCATTCCTTCCCATGTGCTCAACTACCTTCTCCCCAAGGTTTCTCTTCCACAACCCAAGACAAACCACTCAAATCATACGAGACAGCATATGCCTTCGCGGCCACGCCCTGATAAAGTCTTTGCTCCACTCTGCTGTCAAAACACTCTTCACAGCTCTCCCACCACTTCATGTCTTCAAATTCTCGAAGAACTGCGGCGGGTAGCCGCCGCCACCCTCCCCATCAATGCAATCGACCCTCACTCAACCCGTTGATCGGTGTCCCTCCATCTCGATGAACCGCTCGACGGATCTGAGACCTCAAATCTCTCAACGACAGTAGACAAGCAGAAGCTCGGGATACGCCCTTCTTGTTTCAAATTCCCTGAAGAACATATTCGGGAGCCTGCTCTCCAGGCCCTGCTGGCAGCTGACTATCTCGTCAAGTCGCACAGGCTGTCGCGGGAAGCTCAGCATTCAAGCACGAGCGCCACAAACGCTTCCCTACGAGACACTTGACTTCATCCCCATCCCGCGCCCGACCCCGGCTTGGTGTCTCTCGCCCAAGACGAATTGTTTGAGGCGTCTGCAGCTTCAGGGACTCCTGGATCTCCTCAGCAGCCCACCAGCAGACGTTGCGACACGCCTGTTTCTCAGTTCTGAAGAGCGCGGTTAAGTGCCCACTGCCCAAGCGCCCAATCCAGCTCGCCGTGCATCAACGCCAGCCATCCATCACCCACCCCAGGCCGCCTCCTGTGCAACGCATTCCACTGTCAGTTTCGCGGAACCAAGCTAACGGCATCAGCAGCAGAGAAAATTGCAACTGCCGGATTCTATCGATTATTGAATACGTTCCACTGTATAGGGCCCAACATTACAACGGGCAACCGGCGGCTCCCAGCGCCCAGTAGGCGGAATCCGGCAGTTGCATAAGGAAGGAATTTTTTTCTTGCGGTTTTGACGTGCGTCTATTAAACGAAAGAGGCAATCTCGAAACGACATTCGGAAATGGAGCGTATGTGAAGCACATTTGCAAACAGTGACACGCGATTGAAGCATTGAAGACAGCGTTCGAGAAGCTCCAACACAGCGGTTGGGGCGCCGTACAGCTATGCATTACTGCAACATCTACAGTCCGCAGCATGGGTCGATCGCCCTGTGGGCCGCCGTTGGGCTTCCGTTAGGTTCAGAAGAGCGCAATGCAGGAACTGCAGCAATCGGCAAGACACTTACCCGCACCGAAGACTTCACTTTCCCCCTCCCCCATCTGCCTCGTTGTAGGCCTCCATCCCCCCACGCTTCCCCTGTGTGTGAGTGTGACCAGCGTCGTTTCCAAGCACCTCGTAGTAGTGATCATCTGCACCGTGTTTGGCACCGAGGCCTCCGGGCGCCCCGGGTTGTCCTGGCGTGCCAGGGGTCCCTGGCTGCCCCGGCGTCCCGGGCTTGCCAGGCTGCCCGTCTGCCCCATCCCTGCCCGCCGTGCCGTCCCTGCCGTTCCTGCCAGGAGTGCCGTCCTCTCCGTGCCCGCCGTCCTTGCCGCCTTCGCCCGGGATGCCCTGGGCACCGGGCTGCCCAGGAGCGCCCACGCGACCCGGGGACCCAGCGGGACCAGGGTCACCGGGAGCGCCCTGAACGCCAGGCGCACCATCAACTCCAGGCTCTCCGTTGACGCCGTCCCTGCCTGGGTGGCCCTGCTGTCCGGGGTCTCCGGGCGCTCCCGGCTGCCCCGTGCCGCCGGGAGCCCCTGCCGGCCCCGTGGCGCCGCGCTCTCCCCTGGCACCGGGAATGCCGGTGGTGCCAGGCGTCCCATCCCGTCCGGATGCTCCCGCCTCGCCCCTCGCTCCTGGCTGTCCTGGAACGCCGTCCTGCCCTCGCGGTCCACGGGGCCCAGGCTGGCCGCTGTGTCCCGGGGTACCGGGGTCGCCTTTGCCGCCCTTCGCGCCTGGGGCTCCGGGGTTGCCTGGCGCCCCGGGTTGTCCGTCGGGGCCGGGAGGCGCTTCTACATGAACGGGAGCGGGCGCCGGCGCATCTGAGGCAGGCCACACAGAGCTTCAGTTGGGATCAACACCAGGACACCCGTTGCCCCAGACAACCCCTTGTCCCCGTTTCGTGAGACCTGCAGACCTGTAGCTGCATGGGTGGGATGTGAGACCGCTGGAGACTGTGGGCCACTCACCGCACTTCTCAAGTTCGCCTTCGAACAGCGCCTCCACTTTGGCCACTGCGGCCTGGTGCGCCTTAACCCTCCCCCACTTGGTGTCGTCATTGACCTCCATGCACAAGTCCTTGGCGGTGTAGCAGTCCAGCCTGATGTGGTCATACCAGCCGCAGATGTGCTCCACATAGGCGCAGCACTCCTTGCTCTCCGCCTCGGCGCACACGCACTTGTCCACCTCCAGGTACAGCAGCTTGGGCAGCGGGGGCGCCCGGGCGTAGCTTGTCTTGGAGTGGCCATTGCCCTCGGTCGCATCGCCCACACGAGTCTTGCCATCGTAGCCAGCGGTCACAGTTTCTCGGGACGGCTTGCCGCGCAC